TTGGTGTAGTCCATAACGACATCAGCTCCCAGGGACTTCACAAAGTCAACATTCTTACCACTACAGACAGCGTAAACCTTAGCACCGAGTGCCTTGGCAATCTGTACACCACTCGAGCCGGTCCCACCACTGGCACCAATGACCAACACATTCTTGCCGGCCTCAGTAACACCACCCCGTCTAAGGGCCTGTAAGCTGACCAGACTAGCAACAGGTAGAGATGCAGCGACCTTGGGGTCAACCCCTTGGGGCACATGGGCTATCTCGGCAGTATTAGCGATCGAATACTCAGCCAGAGAGCCTCCAACAGCCTTGCCGAAGACCACGTCACCCTCCTTGAACTGACCAGAGCCGATCGTCACCCTCCCAGCAAAGTCTATGCCAACAGGACGCCCTTTGATTTGACGTGATACGAAGGGGACGTGAGGCAACTTATAGTCCACAGGGTTAATGCTAGCCGCAATGACCTTCACTTGAACTTGCGACTTGCCGGGCTTAGGCTTAACCTGTTCAGCAGCCCAGGTCATTTCATTGGTCTGAGGGTGATAGATGTATGCTTGCATTGACGACAAGTAGTTTTATAACAAATCCTGAACAAGGTCAGACTAACTTATCGAATAGCTACAGCAGTCATCCTGAAGGAACAAAAGACTCTACACAAAATTCTGTCTACTTCGAGCTCCCCATCAGGGCTGTTGTCTACCCTCGTGTGGTCATACCACACCTTTTACAAATCAAGTTCATTGAATTCCCTAACAAAGATGTGCAGAGGTACGGCTACAGCGCTTGTTCAATCCCGAGGCGACGCATGCAAACACGCTCAATAAGCTGAGTGATGTTAACGATTTGAAAAACAGTGTCCCACCACGGCAGACTCGAAGGATGAGATGTTCGGGAAAGGGAGCTAGAGTGCGAGAGCCTAGAATCCACCAGATTATGGTAATCGTACAGCCGGGCACACATCACCTCGTGATACGAGGGCAAAAATGCACAAATGTTCATCGCGGGAGGAAAACAAACGTTTTACATCGAGGAAAAACGTTCATCGATGTGAGATTCAATTCCAAACTCGAATTGAGTTCCCACACTCATCACAACACACTCTCATGAACATTAAAATCTGTAGTTATATCTACCATGAACAATTAGATCAAAAATTCCTTACGACTTGTTCAGATCAATGACAACTTTTCCTCGAACACGACGACTCTTCTGCAGATCAAAGGCCTTCCTACAGCCCTCCTCATTGAAGGGCAATATCTCCTGTATAGGGACCTTGACGACACCCTTCACGACCATATCAGCAAGCGTGGCCAAATCCTCAGTACGCGCATCGGCTGTTACCATGTAATACCCCGACCTTTGCAAATTGAAAGGGGAGAAGCTCGACAGAATTGCTCGGGCAAGATCTATACGGCTCGGAGAGTTAGTTGAGATATATTTTCCATCACTTGCCTTCATAGACCTTCTCGCGAGAGGCTCATAGTTCATATCTTCAGGGCTTGACACCGTATCAAAAACAACATCAACACTGCCAGTTGGACATTGTTTATTCGGGAAAGCGAACCCACTCTTAGTGTAGTCCACAACC